TAGATAGTTTCATACTAATAATTATTAGTATGTTCAATTTTCAATAGAGAATTCTGTTACTGCTAATCCAATAGTTTTGTGGAAAGGAGATAATTTTACTTCTCCAAATTGTAAATATTTTCTTTCCTTTATTAAAATATAAATATTGAATTTCTCCGTCATGCTTGAAGTCTGTCAGAACGACAAGAGGATATAAAAACAACCTTTTACCACGAAGAAAATAGCAAATTATACAAGTATACAGCACTGCTATCAACAAGTCAAACATTTATTTTTGACCTAGGAGGTGATAGTTCAAATAGTATTTACGTGCTAGTGATATGTTGTTTGATACTCTAGTGAAATGGTGGATCTTGGCTGCTCGTTGGCTATCCTTTATCTAGTGCAGTGGACTATTGTCTTCTCCGATAAATATTCATAATATCAGCATGCTCTTGAACGATATCAAAAGTCTCACTGATGGAGGTTGTGTGAGTGTGAGTAGGTAAATAGCCTATATTCACATCCACCCACAACTGATTTCACACTCACATCCTCGAGAAAATAGAAAAGTAATAATTATAAATTTAAATACAGAGTGCAAATAATATACAATTCTGAATTAATTCTTATTATAATTGTGAATCAAAAAAATTAGTTAGATATCTTGCGGTTGAAAAAGTTCGATGCTACTAATCAATCTTCATCATAGTAGTTTGTATATTTGTAATCATGACATTTCTTCATATGACCATGATGACTATACTTTTGAGCAGCAGCTTTCGCACTTACTGCTTGGTCTCTCAATCGTTTTTGCATGTTTTCTGCCATTCGAAGTAACATCGCAATCATACCTCTATCATCGTCTAAATGTTCCACATGTTTAAGTAGAGCTATTTGCTCAGTAATTAATGTAATAGCTTCATCTCTTCTGTGACTCTTTATTAGTTCAGCGATTTTGTCATCCATTTCTCCTGCAACTTGAACTGCATGTAAGGTTCTGACTTTTGGATCGATTTGTTGAATGAGTGATTCATCATTGACAAATGTTACTGATAATTGACCAGTAACAACTAATGGTTCGCCCTCAACGTCACCCGGAAGATTATATTTCAACTGATAATCGAGAATTTCAACTTCTGTACCTTCGGACACGGTTCCAGAAACTGTAAAATCACAAAGAATAACGCGAAGATTATCTATATGAAGGTCACCAAGATTTGCACCATATGCAATGTTTTCATGGCCCCATATTTTCGTTATAATTGTATTATTACGACCACGAATAATTAGTTGAGCTTGTGTTCCACAAACATCAAAAACACTCTGAAGTGCTTTTGTCATTAAGTCTACGATGACTTCAGCTGATTCAAGGAAAAAGAATTGACCACATCCAGCTTGAGCAATACCTTTCATAATTCCTGCATCAAAATCTTCTCCAACACCAAATGAATCAATTATAATTCCTTTTTCGTTGTATTTTGCAACAGCCTTCATGATTTCTTCTTTTGTTCTTAATCCAACATTAGCTAATCCATCTGATAAGACAAACATACGTTTGGAAAATCCAGGATGTGGATATTTTTCAAGAAGACTTGCACCCATTTCAATACCACCAGATAAGAAAGTTTCACCACCAGTCTTAATTCCGTCGACGACTGAATAAAGAGCTTGACGACCCGATGCCGGTGCATTTTCAAAGACGTTCCAGACTGTTGTATCATAAGCAACAAGATGTACAACATCATCATCATGAAGTAAATTAAGTACAGAGATAACGGCTTTTTTCGCAAACTCCAATTTATTGCTTGATGACATTGAACCACTACGATCAAGTACTAATACCAAATTGATTGGATTTCGTTTGGTTGCTTCAGCATTTTCTTCGTTTTTCGTTGTTTCAATTTCGAGTCGAGCTCTCTTTGTATTCTCTACACCAATGACTGCATATGGATTATCTGGAATACAACGAATGTTAACTGAAGCCATTTTTTCAGTGCTCATTTTTTGTTATAGTCGTTATTCAATCTATAATGTTAAAATAAACATTAAAGTACACTCATAAGTCGAGACTAATATTAATAGACCCGCTCAATCTTTCTATAGAAAATCGAACAATTCAAAGTGAGTGTTATTTTGCATAGCGACTGGCTATTTTAATGAATGTCTTCTTCACAATAGAAAAACTGACACATTAGAGTTGTGAAGAATACAGATTCTTTAAAGATGAATTAAAGGATACGTTGAATTTAGCCGATGTAGTTTTTTCCAGTGGGCTTTCAGATAGAGATACTGACCAAAAAAAAAGCCTTTTGATGTTGCAAAAAGTATTCCGAGAGTTCCTTAATCTTTAGAACTTCGATTGAACTATTATTCAAAAAGAGCTATTCTGAGATGATATCTGACTTTTCAATATGAACTTTCTATCATTTAGTAGATCAAATTTAAGCAAGAAAAATCCTAAACAGTTACATCCTTTAAGACATTTTTTTCTCTGGTTATGTTGGTTTATCTGGATTTCTTACTTATTGTTTATAGGCAGAAAATGTCAACCAAGCATGCTTAGCTTGGAATGTTTCTAGTGATAGATCGAATGGTATTCGGAAAGTGCTAAAAGTGTCAGACAAACGGAATGGATGCAACTTAGATCAGTTTTTTTCAAAAGATATCTGTATTGAACATAATATTCGTATCAGTATTCAGATGTATTGAACATTGGTGATGAGATTGAAATATTTGATGTAACTACAACATCAAGAACATAATGAAGATCATTAAACCTACCTGTTAAGAAAATTTCAGTCTAAAATTTCTTTATACGAGACATGCTAGAAACAATAAACAGCAAACCCAGTAAAATCTTCATTACCTAGGGAAAAAAGTCTCATAGGATGTAACTGTTTAAGATTTTTTAGCTTTAAATTTCTCTGCTAAACGGCACTAGTATCATTTCAGAATAGCTTTTCAGTCCTGTAGTAACTAGAACGTTATTTGTTTTGTTTGGTGATGCGCTGAAGTTTATGTGTTACTGTTCTGAAAAACTGTCTCCCATGCACACACACACCACTCTTTATTCTAATCAGTTCGCAATTATATATAGGATTATCGATAACGCGAAAGACATGGTAATATCCGATAGCGTGACAGAAAAATATCTATGAATCATAAGGCAGAAAGGAAAAAATACATATGACGTAATGGCAATATAGAAGAGAACACGCAAAAAGTACAAAATGATAACATGTGAGTCTATTACTTCTTAATGATTTCCTTACTGACACATAACAAAATACGTTAGGAGTTTGGTTCCATTAAGACTTGAATACGTTTCAAAAAATGAAAAATTTCGCTTATCCTTCCAAGGTAAAAATCATGTTTGATTGTCAGTTGGTCCTGTTAATCAATATCTGTGTGAAATATATATAATTTCTAATTGATAAAGAAGCATTTCAGGTAGTTTCATGGCTAAAACAATGCGAGCTACAAGAGCTAAGATTTGCGATTACATTTTCTTTTCGGCAACTATGCATATAAACACTTCGAAATTAAAATGTTTTCCAATATGAAAATTTCAACAGAGATACCTTCATCAATGCAAAATTGATCTGTCCACTTTGATACAATATCCATTCGTAATATCGTGCGTCCGTTGTCGTCCCTCGGATATAGAGATTCTAGGCTTTTGTTTTTCAGCAACGCTTTTTGCAAGAACCCATCAGTAAGATATAAGAATATGTTCCTGAGTTATATTTTTCAATAAAAATAAAAGAATCATAATAAATGATTGTGTTACGTTTCTATTGCTTCGGTATAATGTGTATGAGAGATCCATTTTTTTTGCCAAGGAAATGATATTCATGAAAATGAAAAATATTATATTATATCTATGGTTAGAATATTTCCCTGGTTTACCAACAATCTTCTGTAGCCATGTCTAATCGTTCTTTAGGTTATGAAAACGGATTCAGCGTCTACAAATCTTATGAGTATGAAACTTACGTGTAATGCTGATGCTATTCCTTTGGAATAGCGCATAGTATTTGCAGTTATACATCCTATCTGAGTTTCATTCAGATTAATCCGAAATGAATTTTCAAGTCACACTATCGGATGAAATCCCTGTATGAATCAACCGAATTGTTATCTGAGACAAATTCCGAAATATGATATGATGTTGATTATAGTCTTATTAAATTCTCAACTTCTATTGTAGAATTGACTAATTGTTTTAAATTTCCTCTCAGGAGTCAATGTGTAGTTGTACATGATAAAAACGAATCACTTACTACAATTTTCGACATCAAAAAGCCATGATAGCTACTTTGTCAATCGAATCTCTATGGATTTTTCAAAATTTGATAGATTACTAGAAGTAGAAATCCATATCATGTTCTTATTTTCTACAAGACAAAATATAGAAAACACAATTTTCTATGGCACTAATGTCAATTGAGACCTGCAGATGTCAATCATTTAATCCGATAATTAATTTGAATGTTAGAAAACAAACGAAGAAGCGTGGTATCCTGTGAATACTTGATCAGAAAAAAACTTGGTAATTGTTACAATGATTTTTTTTTCTCATAATGAAAAATACTGAATGCATATAAACTAGTGAAAAAACTACCGAGAGTTGTGATAAGGATGTATCTGTCACTAATATAAACTTGTAATTTCTCTTTTTCTTGAAGTCTTATAACTATGAACAAGATGTTCATGTCTACTCTTGACAAGCCATCAAAATTCTGATAAAAAAACTGTTGACATTCGATGTCACAAGTATCATGAATCATCAAATTGCACGTCATTTGAAAAAATGTCGATAACTTATCGATGTTTTGGACGAGCATATATGGAAAGTAAAAGTTGAGTAAACATTTTGACTCATTCAAAAGTTTATAAAAAAACAGATCGTCGTATCTTCGCGACATTATTCTTATCAACAGCGTGATGTCGAAATTTACTTATTTATTACATTGTTTTGCTTTCGTTCCTTTGGATATGATGCTGCAAAAGAAGTTGACACTCTCAACTTACTTTATTTGCTTTGAAATTAGTTTCCATGTACTGAAACTATCTAACAGAGAAAAATAAATACTTTTCTGATATACGGTTCGAGGAAATTATGACACAATCTTAAAGAAATTCTATTAGATCGATGTAGGATTAAAATAGTTGCTGTCACAGAGAGTAGGATCTCTAATAAAAAGTAATATACTGAAAAAGAAATATGAATAGAGATGCAAAGATCGAAACTGTGCTCACCTTTTCTGTTGCTTTTTCTGAAAAGTGATGTAACTCCGACTTTTCTTCCCTTATATATGACTCATACGAATTGCATAACTATGGGCAATCATTACAACATACAGAAAAGAATACGAGAAAAGATCCCTTGTAAAAAAAATCTGCATGCATCATAATAACATGAGTCATTTGATTAGGAAAAAAGATATTTTTGCAAATAAGCAATCGGTGCCTTATTGTGAATGCTCAGTAATGATTTATTCGGGATGTAAGCTAATATTATGCTGAACTTCGTTGCTTTACAATTAGAGTTTGAAAAATGATTCCTTGTTCTACTCGAACTTCTTCTATTATGTGAAATCATCGTTTCATTAGAGATATTTCTCGTTTGCTACTAATTATGCGAGGAAGATATCTTAACCCTTTCTTTTCCATGGCTAATCTAGTATGGTGTGGATGTGAGCGTGGGTGTGTTCCATGTAAAAAAAAACTGATTTCAAAAATCGATTAAAAATCGATTATAATTATACGATTTTAATCAATAATTTCAGCAGTAATTATCATAACAAAATCAGTATTTAATTGATTTTTAAAAATATTCTAAATCGATTATAATCGAACTAACTGAAATAATCGATTAAATACTGATTTTGATATGACTATTACTGCTAAAATTATTGATTAAAATCGTATGATTATAATCGATTTCGACCTCTCTAAAGCTGATTCTTTTTCATAGTTTTTTTACATGGAGTGTGTATGTGTATGCGGGTATGGTTGAGGTATATCTGTTCAATCGCTTCCACACCAAGCGGACACTCACACCCATTCACATCACACCCGACCCTACTTGTCCATACTGATATTTCATAAGCGTCGACGCAGCGTATTCTATCTATAGATCTTTTCATTAACATACTAATATATTCAATTTTCAATAGAGAATTTTGCAACTGATCATTCAATAGTTTTGTGGAAAGAAGAAAATTCTATTTCTTCAGATTGTAAACAAAAGAGAGTGATCTTTATAGGAGTAACTCAAGCACGGCAGCGGCTAGTCGTAAGTGTCGCCCCGGAAGAGCGCGGACGGATGACTAGTCTCTGGTCTGAAAAGTACAAGGACCAAATGCTTCAGACGACTTTGATCCATAGAAAATTCTCTAACTCCTGGACCTGGTCGACTGCTACATAGTCTGGAAGTCGCACAAAGCTGAAATATTATTTTTCTAAATCAACTCTGTGCAACAATTTTTCAGCAGAAGTAAAACATCTCTTTGCGACTTTGTGTTAGAGTGGTACCCAAATAGATAAAAAGTCATATCTTTTATGCTTTAAATGCCAAGGTGATCATTTCGAAAAGCAGATTGTCGATAATTTATATCTAGAAATTATACTAACTAGCTTACACGTTTAATATAAAAGCAAACGCTAGAGAGAAAGGAGAGTTAACAATCGTTTACATTTATTTTGTTTTTTTGAAATTTTAACATTGAATTTCTGCGCTATGGTTGAAGTCTCTGTCAGAACTACAACGTTATATAAAAACAACTCTTTCCCTCGAATGAAAATGGCAAGATCTACAAAAAACACAGCACTGATATTAATAAGTGGGACATTTATCTGTGACCTAGTAAATGGTAACTTGATTAGTATTCACCTACTGGTGAGATGTTATGTGAGATCCTAGTGAAAAGGTGAATTTCGACTGCCCGTTCAGAATCCGTTGCTTACCACAGTCAACTATTTCTCAAGCATGTTGC